GTATTGTGTGTGTGTGTGTACTTTTAAAAACATTTTTTATTTCTCGCCTGGTTCCGCCAGGTGGTACTCGCAGGGAAAGGGAACCCGGAAGACGGATGCTGGCATCAGACGGAGGACACTGCGGATGGATACTAGGGGCTCGTAGGGACAAGGTAAGTGATACTACAGTGTAATTCCGAGCGTGGCTCAGGGTTACCGCCTTTGGTACTGCGAAGTAACCCAGAGCCATGCTAGGGATTACCGCCAGGGAGGTTAATACCTCCAGTTATTACATGATGGCATTTGAGCTTTTATTGTAATACAGTGCTGTGCACTTTATTTTTGTGGTATTCTATCTTTTGATCCTGATATACACAATTTTTTTGTAATGTTTTTGTATATCCTTCTGTGCTTTGATATCTCCAGTTACTACATTAAGGCTCTGGAGCAATTTGGACATTAGAGTTGTCTAGAAATAATTGTGATAGCATTCCACTATTCTGCTTTGATAGTTGGACCTTGTTTTACTTTATAATTTATTGACTGGGAAGCTCCAATCTGGACCTTTGGTTGTTATTTCGCATTAGAGATTATCACTGCTTATTATTATTATTATTATTATTATTATTATTATTGGCATTTATATAGTACCAACTTATACCGTAGCGCTTTACAGTGTTATTAAAAGGGAAATGTAACAATAAATATGACAATTACAAAATGTTAAAGGAACAATAGGTTAACCAGGGCTTAAACAAGTTTATAATCTAGATGATTCTATATGTCCTTTGGCCATTCTTAAGCATCTAAGGTTTGTGTGCCTTTTATAAATAGTAAAAAAAAATCAGAAAAGTGGGGAAGGGATTTTCATCCACACTTTTTTTCCCCACCACAACTTATTTGGTATATATATATATATATATATATATATATATATAACATTTTAATTTAATTCACTATATGTAAAATAAACCCATGTGTATTTGTACGAAATGAAAGGAACCTAGGGCACAAGCTTGCCTGGGGTCGAGACTACTGTTACTTCATCCCTAACTTCTGTTCCCTATAATGCATTTTATTTAGTACACAATACCATCAACAAGTATAATACTGGAATTCAAGATGTACCTACAAGCATTTAGGGCTTGTTTGTCTTTATGATCTTTATGTATTTGTCAAGAAAGCTTTTAGCACTACCTTTTATATATATTTTTGTTAAAGGACCACTATAGATACTCAGACCACCTCAGCTCAATGAAATGTTCTGGGTGCCAGGTCTCCCTAGTTTTAACCCTCCCTGACAGCCACTAGAGGCCACTTCCACAATTTACACGGAGTAAATCACACTTATTTGACGCTGGACGTCCTCACAGAGTCAAGCGTCAAATAAGAAACCCCATAGGAAAGCACTGAGTAATGCTTTCCTATGGGCGGGTTTTAATGCGCATTCGGCTCCACTCGGGAGCTGACGTCGGCAGGGGAAGGAGAGGTCACCAATAGAGTTGAGCGGACACCTGGATGTTCGGGTCCGGCGGGTTCGGCCGAACGTTGAAAAAAAGTCTGGGTTCGGGCTCGAACTTGACCTCGAACCCCAACCCCATTGAAGTCAATGGGGGCCTGAACTTTTGGCCACAAAAATGGTTCTAAAAAACTCTCTCTGAAAAGGGCTAGAGGGCTGCAAAAGGAAGTAATATGGGGGGTAAGAGTAGGACAAGTGCCCTGCAAACAAATGTGGATAGGGAAATCACTTAAAAATAACATATATAAGCAGCCGCTTAGTAGATAACTCCCTAATTCCCACGGTATTAGGGAGCTATCTACCAAAAGGCTGAAAGACCTAAATTGGTCACCTAAATTGGTCTTTCAGCCACATTTACTAATACTAAGTAAAGATTACTTAGTATTATGTGAGTAGGGGCGTGTCTAGTAAAAAAACCTCTTGCCCCCATGGGTGGGGGGCCATAAATAAGAGTGTGGCGGGGGGGACCTAAATAAAAAATGGGGGGGGGGACCTAATGTCCTCCCCCCGGCCCCCACTCCTGAGCGGTGGGTGGGGGCCATAAATAAAAATTGGGGGGGACCTAATGTCCTCCCCCCGGCCCCCACCCCTGCGCGGTGGGTGGGGGTCCTAAATAACAATAAGGGGGTCCTAATGTCCTCCCCCCGGCCCCCATGCCTCCCCAAACCCCTATTCACATCCCTCCTCCCAAAAAAATTACCCCTACCTACCCCCCTCATCCTAAAAATAATGAGGGGGGACCCTTGTCTAAATACCTGTAAAAAAAAAAAAAA